CTGTGCACTGGGGCCTTCTTCCCATGGGCCATCCCTCCACCATGCTGTCCTCTTCTGCCGTTGGTGAGTTTCCCCAGCACCTGGTTGGGGACAGCCAGGCTTCATTCCCTTCCAGCTGTGCCTGTGACTCTGGAGGCTTCAGAGAGCCCCTGGGATGGTGACTTCTCTCCCCTCTCACTGTGAGCCCCTTTCATGGAGTGTCTTCCCCTATTAGAATGTCAGCTCCACTGGGGGAGGGGGCAGCTAGGTGGCACAGTGGATAGAACAATGGCCCTGAAGTCAGGAGGACCGGAATTCAAATCCGGCCTCAGACACATAACACTTAGTAGCTGTGTGTCTCTTGGCAAGTCACTTAACCGCAATTGCCTCACACACACCCACACACACAAAGTGAGCTCCATGAGGTCAGGGACCCTCCATTTATTTGCATTGGAATCCCCAGCACTTAGCACAGGCCTGGTACACAGGCAAGGATTAATAAATGCTTTTTGCCTTGTCCTGACCCCAATCCAGAGCTGTCTCATGACCATCCAAACACATAACTATCTGTCCCCAGATCCCAGGGGCTCCTGCTGCTCAGGCCTCCCAAGAGGCTGCAGAGGAAGAAAGCTAGGCACATCCTCACTGTGGGCCTCACTTCCCCATTGGTGAAATGAGGGGGATTGGACCAGGGGATCTCTAAGCTCTCCTCCATCTCTGGCCTTCAAAGATGTAACCAAGATGTGAAGATTCTGAACAGACTCCCCAGAGACTGAGAGCCTTATGGAGACAAAGGTAGGGCAAGGCGTTAGAAAATGTATTTAATTTTTTTTATTTAATTGTATTTATTTAATATTGAAGAAAATAGGACATTAGCAGGTAAGCACTTTTTCTATATTCAGTGTATCCTCTTAGACTGTCTTATCCCCTGGCTTCTGGGAATGATGCTTCAGGACAGATGGGGATTGGGGAGTTCTCCCAGGGCCCCCACAGCCCCACCTTCAGAGTCAGGAGACCACCCAGACCCCAGACCTAGGACATATGCTGAGCCTCAGAAGCCCTGGAAAGTTCTCCTAGCCTCAGCTCATTCTGGGGCTCAGCCCTCCTGAGATCATCCTTCCTGAACTGGGTCTCACTTTTCTTTCCCTCCTGAAACAGAGAAGGATTGAGATGTGTGTTGATAGAGAAAGAACTCCCCAAGGAGGTCATCACAGATCTTGGAAGCAAGTGTGGATTTTGGACAGCTTTGGTT